CTTGCATGCAACAAAGAAAGGAATCCCAAAGGCTGTCACGTAGCCTGAGCCTATGCTGTAAGAAGTGACACCTCTTATTCGCCAAATGGGGTGGCGACACCATTCATTTTTGTACTCTTTCGCCAAGTGAGATGGCGCCTCCCTTACTGTCCAATCGTGATACATGCATGGGCTTATGAAACCCCATAGCCTGCCACCTATCCTGGCCCTATTCTGCACACATAAATGTTTTGTGTAAGACTCCACCCATCAACTCCAATGGCCTTGCATGCAACAAAGAAAGGAATCCCAAAGGCTGTCACGTAGCCTGAGCCTATGCTGTAACAAATGACACCTCTTATTCGCCAAATGGGGTGGCGACACCATTCATTTTTGTACTCTTTCGCCAAGTGAGATGGCGCCTCCCTTACTGTCCAATCGTGATACATGCATGGGCTTATGAAACCCCATAACATGCCACCTATCCTGGCCCTATTCTGCACACATAAATGTTTTGTGTAAGACTCCACCCATCAACTCCAATGGCCTTGCATGCAACAAAGAAAGGAATCTCAAAGGCTGTCACGTAGCCTGAGCCTATGCTATAACAAATGACACCTCTTATTCGCCAAATGGGGTGGCGACACCATTCATTTTTGTACTCTTTCGCCAAGTGAGATGGCGCCTTCCTTACTGTCCAATCGTGATACATGCATGGGCTTATGAAACCCCATAGCCTGCCACCTATCATGGCCCTATTCTGCACACATAAATGTTTTGTGTAATACTCCACCCATCAACTCCAATGGCCTTGCATGCAACAAAGAAAGGAATCCCAAAGGCTGTCACGTAGCCTGAGCCTATGCTGTAACAAATGACACCTCTTATTCGCCAAATGGGGTGGCGACACCATTCATTTTTGTACTCTTTCGCCAAGTGAGATGGCGCCTCCCTTACTGTCCAATCGTGATACATGCATGGGCTGCCACCTAGCCTGCAAGAGTGACACCTTACATTTTTTGTAAATGCATGCATGCATATGTGTAACACCCTAAGCATGCAAATGTGACACTTCGCAGGCATGCAAGCACAAGCAACCACTACATCAAACTTATTTGCCTATAAATACATACCTTATGAAACATCTCTCACACCCACACAACTCTCACTCTCTGCTACGAAATATTTCTTAAGTCTATCATACTCTCTATTTCTTCCTAAGTCTTTCATACTCTCAAGCATTCTGAACAATGGCTCTTCTAACAATGGGCGATACTCACAGAGGCACAAGGGAAAACATTGCTGCATTTGTAAGTCTCTTCTTTGGTTATACATTTTTCATACTTCAAATAACGTGTTGTTCATCTTAATTAATCTTACACTTGTTTAATTATGATCTCAGGATACAAAAAGATTCAGAATTCGTTCGCACAACTACCTGGCTCCCGACCCATTTATCGTCCCTTATCTGGAATATGCAGGTTTTGGACATGTGATAAAGATCTCCAACTGCACCATTGACTCAAAATTCATTCTTGCAATGTTGGAGAGGTGGAGACCGGAGACCCATACATTTCACCTACCAATAGGTGAATGTACCATCACTCTCGAGGATGTGTACATGCTACTGGGCCTCCCTATCGACGGTAAGACGGTGAACGGGTCGGTTCAACAACCCAACTCACAGTGTGAAGAACTGTTGGGTAGGGATATGGTAGAAGGTGGTGGAGCAAGAGGGCGGGGAATACTACTCACTGACCTGAAACGACATTATGCAAGTATGGAATTAAATGAAAATTCCTCAGAGAATGACCGAGTAGTAAAAGCCAGAACGTATATTATGATACTTTTTGGTACATTTTTATTTCCCAAAGTACGGGAAATAGTGTAAATTTCATGTACTTACATTTACTAACAAATTTTGAAAAAACTAGAAAATATAGTTAGGGTTCTGCAGTATTAGCCCACTTGTACAGTTCCTTGTGCAAAAACGCAGTCAAGGAAAAATGTACATTTTATGGGTGCGCATTTTTACTACAAGCCTGGGGTTGGTGGAGGATGGAGTCCTTAAACCCCATCAACAACAACACTTTTGGTTTCCCGTACGCAACAAAGCAAGTCATTAAGTTATAACATTTATAACTATTCTGCTCTTTCCAAAATATATGCTAAAAATAACATGTTTCTCATTTCCTTTAGGTACTGCGTGAGGGGTATGGATTACGGCAAGAATCCAAGATTCAATGTCGCACTCTACCGGAATCTGTTGGATCACTTAGGCCCAGATGACGTACGTCGTAGCTTTTAACTTTTGTTCATTTTAATTATTTATACATTACTTTTGCGCTAACCTGATTTAAATTTTATCGCAGTTCGTCTGGAGACCATATTTGGGTCTGGGCCATGCTCCAAACCCAGAGGATGCAGCAACTTGGACTGCAAAGACTGCACTCATTCGGTTCAACATTGTGGAGATGCACCATAGCGACCGTGTGAAGATGCAGTTCGGAATGCATCAAGAGATACCAAGTGATCCAACAGATTTGTCCCCCTGGCATCTAAAAAGGGTCGACGCCCAGTGGGGTCTTACCAACTGGAAAGACTTTGCTCCGGAATGGTGTAAAATGTGGCAAAGGCGTCACCGCTACATCTTGCAATCCCCGGTTTTCCTTACTCAAGGTAACATGCGACACACTGATCAATATATGTCGTGGTACAGGTCGGTTAGTAACCCAGAAATGCACGTGTCTCATCCGAGGTACTTGGTTGACCCACTCACACAATGGGCACAACCCTCGATTCCCCATCAACAAACCCAAAATCCATCAACCTCAAACCAACCCCCAAGAAGAAACAGACCAACAAACACACAACCACATTCCCCACCACAACACAACTACAATCAAATGCCGTACTACCAACCACAATCACCACCAAACTACCAATACCCGGATATGCCTCAAACCCAACCACAATACCAACCCCAATACCAGCACACCCACATGCCCCAAACACAATTTCAGTCTTCCACATATCCCAATATGGCGCCCTCAACATCCAGCCTTAGCCCTGATATGGGAATGTCAGAAGATTATGACCAAACCTACCATCAACCACCATATCACCAAACAACCCAACATCCACAATACCAAACACCCCAAGATCCATTTCCTTTCTACCCCCATACTCAGACGACCAATGCTACCGACCAACCATGGAACTCCACCCACCGCCAACACGACCAAACTTTGAGAGTATGGGTAACCGACTGTACCAGAGCGGATCTTCGAGATATGGAGATCTTACTGATTTTATAGATTCGGATCGCATTGACTTCGCTGGGCCATCAACCTTGCCGCAGCAGGAAACGTGACGACACCCAGCAAGAGAAAGGCGAGGACGGGGATGCAGAACCGGGGGTCATTACCGGGTTCCGGGGGATCACTGATGTATTTTTTTTTCCAGTATTTTTTGTATCCATTTTTTTTACTGTTCTTTTAATGTAAAACAGTTGAATGTAATTATTTTTTTAAAAAAAAAATCCATTTTGTTGATCTCTGTCTAATAGGCAACGCACAGGAAAAAAAATTTAAAAAAAAAATTTTTGCTCTAAATTTTTACATAGGCACCATCTCACTTGGCTTAGGGCATACCCTAAGCACTTAAGCGCCAAGTGAGATGGCGCCTCCCTTAAAAAAGAAGGTGCATGCGCCAATTGAGATGGCTCCTCCTTTGTGGAGCCATCTCAAACATGGTTATTTGCGTAATTTTTTCCGAAACCCGGTTATTTACGAAATATTTTTTTAATACATGGTTATTAATAAAAAAAATTCCCACAAATATGCTTTCAATTTCCAATCGTTTTTATAAAAAAAATATGCGCACCAAAAATCTACTCCCAATTTCAAAAAAGACATTTTAGAAATTACATCCGATCTTTCTTTTGGACATAAAGTGGAATAAAAAATTCCCTAAACTATATTCCTTGAACTACTTTCAATAATAATCGTTTTTACCAAGCTTCCCTCTCGCCTTATGGTGGATAGCAAGATTTATCGGACAATTCTCAACCCGCTTATTTTATATCAGATAACAGAATTTTTTTTAAACCTAATTTGGTTTTAAAGATCACTTACGCTTTTGTAAACTCATTAACAAAAGGTTAAACAACTATTTGTTAATATATTTTCAAGATACGCATAATATTATATCATAGAAATCATCTTAATTTTATTTAAAAATAAAGTAGATATTATATGTAAATAAATACTTTTGTATCTCATAAAAATACAAATTAATATAAGAAATAACCGTAAATTAAATAAATTTAAAAAAGAAACACACTAACCAAATACAGAATAAAACAAAATTTGGTAATTACACTCAGTAACACTGATAAAAACTATCCATACAACATAAATTACTAAATCACTTCCTAATTAAGATATCCAAACATATATCATCTTCCATTCAACGCTCCTTTAACTAAAGGATTCTACAAAATAATTTGAAACACAACCAGTTTATCAAATATTTTGGTTCACTAACCCGTTCAATTTTTAAAACATTTATAAAAGCAAACAGAAATAATTTAAAAGCTCAAACCCAGTCTATAACTTCAAAGTACAAAACTATTTTGTCTCACAAGTGTAATCATGTGATCAATTCCAACCTCAAACTAAGAACATAAACTAGCACAATTTTAAGTTAATGAAATGCATAAATTTACTGTTAACTGAATTGCCTGTAGAAGAAATAACATGGCAGGAGCTACAGCAACAAATCAAACCAAGGCAAAACAAGGTGAAGATTCGATACCTCAGTGAAAGTAAGAAACCCTAACAACTCAAATTAAATATTATGACTAGAAAACGGCAAATTCACATAAGCAAAGATTATTAAATGGGTAAATTAGTATAACTTAGAAAAGATAGCAAATATATATGACCAAAACAAATAGTTTTATAAGATATATGACTAGAATAATTTTAGAGCAAAAGATAAAAAGACCAAACACATATTTAAGCAAACAATATGACGATATGATAAAAGACCAAACACAACAATAAGACAAAACTTAAGGAGGCCCCCTCATACCAGTAGCCACCTGATGTGTAGCTTACCTGCCGAGAGAAAGGATTAAAGATTATAGAAAAAATAACAAAAGCTAGATTATTCAGGTGCAACAAACAGTTTGCACTAAAACAAAACAACCAAAATTTCCATATTGCATGCATAATGTGCAATAACCTAAATCCGGAAAACAATAAAAAACCAAAAACATTTAGTTCAGAAAACAAGACAAAAAAAACTATCACAAACATATAAATGGACTTCACTGTGAAACCCCCAGCCACTTAGAGAAGTTGTCAAACTCGGTATAATCAGAATCTGAGACCATAGTGTTGTACCAAGCTTTTCCTGCAGCTTTGATAGCAGAAGCTTCCTCCTGATAGAGTGAAAAGAGCACAATGGAAAACAACATTAGTTTTAAACAATAAACAAAACTCTCATCTAACAAAAACAAAACTCCACTTTGAAGTGTGCATCAAATAGAAAACAATCAGAAAGAAACAGATAACATATGGAATGGGTTAGACAAAAAGTCAAGGGTATATTAAAACTCTCATCTAAGAAAAAAACAACATTTTGAAGTATGCATCAATTAGAAGACAATAAAAAAGAAACAGATAACATATGGAATGGGTTAAACCAAAAGTAAAGGGTGAAATTAGAGATAAAATCAAGTGCATTAAATTAATAACTTCAATATGTGTTCATGACCAAATCCACATACAGCTGACACATACAGTAATTCACAATCATTAAATCCACTTTGTGATTAAAATGTACAGTGTGTTCTTTTATATCATTTGTTAATAATAAGTAGACAAGGAAGAAGATCGGCCTCTAATGTAGTTCGGAATATTGAAGGAGCCCACTAGTCTCAAACAACAATAAATTGCTCACTCAATCAAGTATGCTCATGATAGAAAAATAAAATGAAAGCCAATCTAAGCTATTAAACTATGTGTGGTCTGCATACACATACATAGACTATTTTACACATCAATTTTTTATATTAAAGGGTCGCTACACCATAACTTATCATTTCACAACATGTACTAAGAACAAACCAATCCAAACCAACATCAAAAAACTAACATCGATATGCTACTTGATAAATGCACAAAACCATTAAACATCAAAAGAATAAGCTATGCAATCATGTCATCTACTAGTATATACAGCAGATTATACATCTTTAGCATTATTAGTATATAAACCAAATGCAACAAATTGAGCATGATATAGATATCAATATCACCTTAGAAACAGTCTTCCTCTTCTTATCAAGCTTCTCTGCTTTAGCCTTAACACGCTGAGCCTCAGCAAGTAAAGCCGCCCTCTTAGCAGTCTTAGCATAAGGATTAAGTCTAAGCATAACATTAAGATTCTTAAGAGGATTCTTCTTAAGAGTTGCACGCTTAAGATCCTTCTTAATAGGTCTCACAACAGATTGAACCTCATCAGAATTAATAATCCTAGTCAAATCAGAGTTGGTCATCTTAGCCCTAGGTAGAACATACCCTTTCTTCTTCTCAGAAGGCTTATCAAACGACCCGTAAATCGAATCCAATTTCTCAAATGCAGATTTGGTCCAAATCACAAACCTACCCAAATGTCCACCAGGTGCAAGCTTCAAAATATTCAATCTCTCCACATTGGTTATCTCAACACCAGGAATGTTCCTGAAAGCTTTCACGGCTTTGGCTCCTTCGGTGCTGTAAACAATGAGTGGACCCTTACGAGAGATATATCGACGGTTACGCATTTTCCCCTTTCCAGGACGAATCCCATGGCTGTCTTTTGCTTTCTCAGCATCGGGGAAAGCTCCGATCTTCTTCAGAACCTTGATAGCTTCCTTTGTTTTCTCAACTCCCTCAGCTGAATCACCAACAACGAGAGGAAACTCAGGAACAGACTCGATCCTGTGACCACGAGCGAGAACGAGAGAGGGGACTGCTGAAGCAGCAATGGCGGAAACAACCGCGTAACGCTTCTGGTTAACATTGATCTTACGGTGCCACCTACGCCAGATCCTGGTTGGAGCAAACATCCTACCACCACGACACATGTTTCCGAACGCTGCCTGCCCGGCACGGTGAGTTCCACCACCAGCAACACGAGGGATACGGGAAACGGCACGACCAGTTCCCCATGACTCAGCGGAGGTTTGATGACCGGCACGACGGCTGACAGCGTAGGGCTGACGACCGTTATTTGAGATGTTGGAGTGGACAAAATTGACGATGTCAGGACGGATTGAAGCACGCATGACATCGGGAATGGGGAGGTTGGTTGGAGAATCGGTGGCCATATCTCCTTCTAGGGTTTGGACGGTGACAAGGGGACGTGCTGCGGCGGAGGCCATGGCGGCGAGGATGAAACTCTAGCTAGGGTTTTTGGAGTACTACTACTATGAAGGAGAAAAGGGTTACCTAAGTGATTTTGATGTGAATATTAGTGTGTTTGGGCTTCAATTTGAAAACTCTAAGCCCATATTCATTTGGGTATTGTGTTTATTGGGCTAAGTAAAATTAAATAGAATATTTTTTTTGAGTATTTCTTATTTCACTCTATAGTTTTCTAGCGCATCATCCGAAATTTCTTAAATATCTCTTAAAATCGGAAATATATTTTCGATGCGCACCGTGTTAGTCTAAAAATATATGAAAAGTTGGATGGAAATCAGAAGTATACATATGGTTGTAAATCATAAATGCATTTTCGGTTGCATCCCAAACACAGACAATTGTGGCCTTGGAATCCAAGCTCTAGGGATGTCAGTTTGGACCTGTTAATGGGGATCCCCGCGGGGAACGCCCCGTTCGGGGTCCCAAAGATGGGGAATTTTCCCCCGTGGGGGCGGGGATGGGGAGAAAAATTCCCCCGAGAGCATTTCGGGGACGGGGACGGGGAATACACCCCCCGCCCCGCCTATTATTTTAATATAGTTAATTTAATATATATATTTTAGATTAGGTTTTTTAGTCATTTCCTTTATGTTTATTTATAAAAATAAATAAATAAATATTCATGTATTTATTAAAAGAGAGAAATGTAAATATTAGACCCTAAAAAAGTTGAAGCGTTTCATTTTCTTCTGTCAGACATTTAGAGTCTCACACGTTAGACTCCTTTTTTTCTTCTCCAGTCAAATCTCCATTCATCTTCCTCTTCCAATTCCATCTTCTCTATTTGGTGTGCTTCCATTATTCACAGCTCTTACAATTTCATCAACAAGGTTTGATTTTCATAAATTTGTTCATGTAATTATTTATAGGAAAAAATAGATTATTTCTCTTTGATTCTCATAAATCTGTTTATATTATTGTTTATAGAAAAAAGTAGATTGTTTCTCCTTGATTCTCATAAACCTGTTCATGTAATTGCTTATAGGAAAAGTTGATTATTTTGATTAAATTTAAATTAAATTGTTTAGAAATTTTAGAGTTATCAAATCATTTGCATATTAAAAAAATATAAAATAATCAAAAAATTACTCATTTTTATCTCCTTTTAAATATTTTTGTGTTCATTTTTTATCTATACTATGCATTTGTAATTAAAATAATGTCGTCAGTTTTTCCTTAAAAAATATTAAAATATACTTTTCCTATTTTTTATTAATATATCACACTATAATTTAATTTTCTATATTAAACAAAAAAATATTACTTTTTAAATGAATCAATATATCATGCTATCACGGTATCACCCATAAAAAAAACCAAATATCTTATATTTCTAATTATTAATGAAATAATAACATATAAACAATAATATATCATGCTATCACCCATAAAAAAAATATATATCTTATATTTCTAATTATAAAACCAAAGCCATTAAGTGAAATAATAACATATAACTTTTTACACGAGTAAATATATCATGTATATAGGTAAATAAATGTATTCTCAATGTATATAATTAATTAATATATGTTATTATTTCTAATTGAAAAGTTACAGTAAATAAGGCATATTTAGAAATATGTGTAATGCATCATATATTTAGAAATATAAGATTTTTCTTATTAATTATTTTTTTGTGTGAATTTCATGTATTTACTATTTCATTTATTTATTATTTTTTCATATATTTATTATTTTTGTTCTACTTCCATGTAGCCTTTTAAAATTTGTGTTTGTGTGTGCCAGGTTTTTGGTAAAAGAATGGTTGGTGAAGTTCAATCATCTAATAGTCCTAATGTTGCTTTGGAAGGGAATGAAGTTCCTATAGAAAGTAGTGGAGTTTCACTCACACAGGAAGTTCAATCTACTCCAAATGAAATAAATATAGAAAATCAAGATCCTGAAGCTCCCGTTGAACCCACTACAAGTCCTAACAAAAGGGGATTAAAATCAGATGCTTGGCCCTATTTTAAAAGGCAAAAAATAGGAGGCATTTGGAAGGCTATATGCAAATCTTGTGATAAGAAAATTGGTGGTGATACAAAAAATGGCACTAAACATTTATTTGATCATATTAGCATATGTCCAAAACGCACAGAGAGAGGTCCAAAACAAGCCATGCTTAAAGTGACAGAAAAAAAATCCGGAAACAGACATGAATCATTTGTGGTTGGAAATTATACATTTAATCAAGATGTTTCTAGGAATGAACTCGCGAAGATGATTATATTGCATGAATATCCCATCATGATGGTTAACCATATTGGTTTTAGAAATTATAGCCATTCTCTTCAACCTTTGTTCAAGATAGTTTCTCGCAACACCATGAAGAATGATATAATGAAGTTGTATGAAAGTGAGAAGTCAAAGCAAATGAAAATACTTGCAAAGAATAAAAGCCGCATTGCAATAACTACTGATATGTGGACTGCTAGCAACCAGAACAAAGGATATATGTCTGTTACAGCTCATTACATTGATGAAAATTGGATTTTGCAGAATCGGATCATCAGGTAACTTCTCCCTTCCATTTACGTTATTATTATAATATAGTTATTTTATGTGATATTTATTATAATTTATTTTTAGGTTCATTTATGTCCCTACGCCACATACTGCTGAGGTCATTTGTGATTTTTTGGTAGATTGTTTGATGGATTGGAATATTGATAGAAAATTGTCAACATTAACCGTTGATAATTGTAGCACCAATGATGCTCTGATTGACCATTTGATTGATAAGATGTCACCTTCTTCTTTTATTTTAAAAGGAAAATTGTTTCATATGCGTTGTTGCGCCCACATATTAAACTTGATAGTGAAAGATGGCATGCAAACAATTTCTAGTTCAATTGAAAAGATTAGGGAAAGTGTCGGTTTTTGGGTAGCAACACCAAAGAGGGAGGAGAAATTTAAAGAAACTTGTAATCAATTGAACATGACTTATGAAAAGAAGCTTGCACAAGATTGTAGAACAAGATGGAACTCTACTTATTTAATGCTTGCTTCTGCATTGCCTTACGAACAAGTTTTTAAACGTTTAAAACAACGCCGTGATTCCCAATATAAGTGTGCACCAAGTGAAGAAGATTGGAAAATGGCAAGAGAAATTTGTGACAAGTTGAAATTATTTTTTAGTGTCACTGAGTTGTTCTCGGGTACTAAGTATCCAACATCAAACATTTATTTTCCCAAAGTTTGTCAAATAAGATTAGCTTTAAGAAAGTGGGAAGATTCTTCTAGTGATACTATACAAAGTATGGCAAGAAGTATGATAGTGAAGTTTGACAAATATTGGAGTTTGATTAATGGGGTGATGGCAATAGGGGCTGTTTTGGATCCTAAATATAAAATAACTTTGTTGAATTACTTCTTCCCACTTATGTATGGGAATAATGCTTCCAAAGAATTGGAAAAGGTAATACAAATGTGTGAAGATTTAGTTGAAGAATATCAACCAAATAATGATATGGTTCCTACAAGTAGTGAAGTTGGTGCATCAACATTGGTAGATGACATTGATGTCACAAGTCAAGATTGGGAGAAGGCTTATTCGGAATATGTGATGGAAAATACTTCAACTACAAATGTCAAGTCAGAATTTACTTCCTACCTGGAAGATGGTGTCTTGCTTGATAAACAAAAAAAGGAAAATTTTGACATCTTAGGATGGTGGAAACAAAATGGTTTGAAATTTCCAACTTTGCAAAAGATTGCAAGGGACTTTTTAGCAATTCCTATCTCTACCGTTGCTTCAGAGTCCGCCTTTAGTACTAGTGGTCGTGTTTTAAGTCAACAACGTAGTAGGTTGAAGGAAGACACTTTAGAGGCTTTGATGTGCACTCAAGATTGGATCCGAAAAGATATAAAAGGTAATATATTTTTATCTTTTACAAGATTAATTGAAAAGGATTTTTAAATTTTAATTTAGCTATTTGTTTCTTAGGTTATTCAAAAACGTTGACTCAATTCGAATGTGTGGATGAAGATATGGATGATGATGATGATGATAATAAGGTAATTTACATATTAGTGTTGATTACCTTTTAGTTTTTAAAGTATTTTTTTAAGTAAATATAATTATTGATTGTTTACTTTTCGTAGGAAAAAGAAAGTCATATCTAATTGTGGAATGAGGAAGAAGACCTTGCAAGGAGAAGTTGGAAAGAGAGACATGATTGATCATTACTTGTTTGGATATTTTGCTTAATATTTTAGTTTATTTATATGTAACTTTGTTTTAAGTATTTTGATATTTCTACTTTACGTGTGTTATCAATTGAGCAAATAGAGATATGTTGACTTTTGCTTTTAGTTGACTTATTATGAAGTATTTTTTAGCTTTTCAAGCATACTCATGATGCTAAATTTTATAATTATCCCTTATTAGTTTTGATGAAGTATAGTTTTTTAAGCATAATTATGTTGTTGGATTTTTTTAGTTGTTTAGGCATATTGTTACTTTAAAAAGTATTATAGTTCATTTTGTTGAATTTTATAGCATTTTATAGAAATTTATAAAAAAAATATTATTATTTTTAATAAAAAATAATAAATGTCAAATACTAGTATTTTTTAATAACATAATAAATATGTGAATTCTTTGTGCTTTTTATTTTTATAGAAAATATAAACATTTTTAAAAAATAAAATATTAATGAATAAATGTAGGATCTATGGGGATCCCCGCGGGGAACGGGGATCCGCGGGGAACGGGGATGGGGATAGAAATTCCCCCGTGACGGAGATCGGGGACGGGGACGGGGAATGAATTTGATGGCGGGGAAAAAGATGGGGAAGTGTCCCCCCGGCCCCGCCCCGCCCCATTGACATCCCTACCAAGCTCCAGGCAAGGCAATATACGAACCGGAATTGCAATCGCGGTATATATGGGAAATATATTCCTGGTTTGTGTTACGACTTAAAGGCGCGCTGCCTCTTCCTCTCCCTCATT